AAAAATGCCGAAATGGCAACCGGTGCATTCCCAAGAGTCCTGAACTCGAGGAAATGCCCTAAACAACTCTCGGACACATCCGGCACACCCCGCGATGTCTGGCACATAAAACAAGAAAATACGAAAATACCCTCGTAAAATCAAAAAATTCGAGAAAATGAAAAATGGTGAAAAACAAAAATATTACACTACTTGTTAAAAGGAAGTTGTTGCTAAAATTTAAGGAGAGAGTTGGCTATGGGAACAATTAGGAAGTTACCTTCTGCAGGGATTTATGTAACCTAAAATAAAGAAAGAGCATACGTGGCAATTGCAAAAAGAAAGTCAGAGGGTGTGACCCAATATAAAACGTGGCTTACATATATATATATATATATATACACACACACACACACACACTCAGGTGTGAAATAGAGGATGAGCAAATTAGAACGTGGGACACATAGCATCGCTGGGAGAAAACTACAATCCGTGGGTTTAGAAGTTGAGCTTCTGCAGCTGGATATGGGACTCGTGTTTTGCAAAGAGATGATAAAGGAAAATGGGCAGTTTGTGATAGGATATGGAATATTCTTATAAAGGCTACACATGTCTATAAATAGAGCACATATGATTACATTGAAAGCTCTCTCAACGACATCAATCAAATTTCAATACATTGTATTTCAATTTATGCAATTTCAATACAAGTTTATTTCAATTCCTTTATATTCATGCACTTGCACTTTAATTCACTAGTTAGCATTGTAGTCTTATTAAAAGTCATTTCATCAAAGGCAAATCAAAACCTTCCACAATCGCCTAATCATTCGAAAATGATCTCTTTTTTGTTTGACTTTTCTGAATCTTTTGAGATTCTGGCACGCATGAACACTTCCAGTGTCCTAATTTTGTGCAAACAATAAGTAATTTGTTGTTTTTAGAGTTTCTATTTGTTGTTTATATATATATATATATATATATATATATATATATATATATATGATAGAATTAAAAAAAAATGATAATATGTGAAAGTTTTATAAAAACTCTTCAAAAAATCCAATATGTAAAATAAAAAAATTAAAATTAATTAAAAATGGATAGAAATTCAAAATTGGATGAAATATTTTTGAACTCTTAATTATATATATATATATATAATTGATAATTGGAGCAATAAACAAGACAGTAATAGAAGGATTAATGTTAAGCTGGATAGAGATCTTGTGAATACAGCTTGGCTTCATAAGTTTACTGATACCATAGTGCATTTGACAGCTACATCCTTGTCAGATCACTATGGGTTAGCTATTTCTTGGCATTTAAATTGTGCACTAGGACCTAAACCTTTTAAGTTCTTAAAAATCTGGTGCTTCCAACAAGAGGTGGAAGAGATGGTGGACAAAGTGTGGAAGGAATCAATTGAAGGAAATCCTTTACACAAGCTTCAGAAGAAGCTCAGAACTATTAAGGATGTTGTTAGAGATTGGAATAAGAAGAAGGGTAAAGTCTCTGAACAGGTCCATGCTGTGAATGACGAGTTGCACAAGGTTCAAATGGATTTGCTTCAAGACCCCTTGAATCAGTTGTAGATTACTAAGGAAAGGGAAGTTATATTGAAATTGCAATCTATTTTAGACTTAGAGGAAATTCTGTGGTGCCAGAAATCTAAGGTGAAGTGGCTCAAAGAGGGGGACAAATATACTGCTTATTTTCATAATATGGTTAAACAGAGGAGATGTTATAATTCTATTACTTGCTTGAAACATCCTGATCGGACAGTCTCTTCTGATTTTGAAGTTATTAAGGATTGGCTAGTTGAATATTTTGAAGACTTGTATGCTGTGAAAGAATCTCTGGTGACAGATATTACTCCTCCTAGGAAAAAAATTACAAGTTGAATAGTGTCAGGAGCTGGATATGGAGGTTACAGTTGAGGAAATCAAAAGGGTTGTGTTGGCTTTTGGCCCAGACAAAGCCCCTGGACCTGATGGATTTCCAGCCAGGTTTTTTCAAATGTTTTGGCATATTGTAAGTTCTGATTTGATTAGAGCTATTCAGTTTTATTTCACTGATGTGGTGCTGCCTAGGGGAATTAATTCTACATTTCTTGCTTTGATCCCAAAACTGAATCATGGTGATAAATTAGAGAATTATAGGCCAATTGCGTTGTGCATTCTCAGTTACAAAATTATTTCAAAATTTTTGGCAAATAAACTAAGTGTTGTTCTTCCTAATATTGTTGGGCTGGAGCAGTCTGCATTTATCAAGGGCAGAAGAATTCATGATAACATCTTGTTGGTGACTGACGTGATTAAAATTTTTGGCTTGAAGACAACAGGTCCTACTATGGCTTTAAAGGTAGATCTGAGAAAAGCTTATGATTCTGTTAGTTGGGAATTTATTCATAACATTTTATAGGTCATGGTTTCAGTGCAAAATGGATTCAGTGGTTAATGAAGTGTGTTACTACCTCTACGTTTTCTATCTTATGCAATGGTGTTCCTACAGGCTATTTTTCTACTGGGAGGGGGATTCGACAAGGTGCCCTCTCTCCCCTCTTCTGTTCACTCTAATTACTGACTATTTCTGTACTCTCATGCATGGAAAAAATTTGGGAGGTCAGATTAAGTTGTGTAACGTGGTTCAAAAGTCTAGTCTTTTGGTCTCTCATGCTTTCTATGCTGATGATCTCTTCATTATTGTAAAGGCTGATATTGCCACTGCTAAGAACATTGATGAGGTGTTTAAAAGATTTTATGAAGTTTCTGGTCTTCTTGTGAACAAGGACAAAAGCTCAGTAATTTTTTCAAAGGCTGTTAGAGGGAAGAGAAGGATAGCTCAGATTTTGCAAATGAAAACTGAATCTTTTCCTTTAAAGTATCTTGGAATTACTTTGGTAAATAGGGGCCCTGGGAAGTGTGGTTGTAAGGGTTTGTTTGATAAAGTTAATGCAAGGTTGGATCATTGGAATACTTTGAATTTATCTTTCACAGGTAGAGTTGAACTTATCAGATCAGTGCTGTATTCTTTCTTGTACCATTGGGTTTTTGGTTTTAAAATTTCATGGGGTTGTATCACTACTTTGGAGAAAAAATTTAAACATTTTCTGTGGAGTGGAAAGTTGGATGCTAGGAAGATGTCTCAACTCAAATGGAGTCAAGTTACATTACCTTATGCATAAGGAGGATTCAACATTCAAAGAATTTCTGATATTGATTTTGCAGCCAAGGTTTCTATTTGCTGGGATTTTCTGCGAAATAAGGAGTCTCTTTGGGTGCAACGATTGCATGCTAGATACTTACAGCTACAAAATTTCTGGAGGGTCTCACCTAAACCTCAAGATTCAAGTATTTGGAAGCAAATTCTAGACACAAGAGATTTTCTTCAAGAAAATGTGTTGTATAAAATTGGAAATGGTGCCTCCTTTAACATGTTGTTTGATCCTTAGTGTGCGGGTCTCTCCTTGATTTAGAGATTTGGACTTAATTTGTTTAGGAACTTGGATCCTCAAGCTCAAGCAGCCACACTTATTACTGCTGGTGGGTGGGTTTTCCCTCCCTTCTTCCCACAGATAGCTGCAGAGTTTGTTAGTAATATTAATCTAAAGGATGGTAATGATGAAATTAGTTGGATTCATGGTGAATTCAGTTTGAAGAATGCTTGGAAAGCTTGCAGAGCTAGAGGGCAAATGGTCAGTTGGAAGGGGTTGTGTTGGACTCATTGTAGACCAAGGGTTGCAGTGGTTTTTAGTTATTATGCATAATAAGAACTTGTCCTTTGTTAATTTGCAGAGAAGTGGGTTTCAGGGGCCTACACTTTGTCATAACTGTTTCAAGGCTTTAGATTCAAATAATCATTTATTTTGTTCTGGTGAGTATGCTATTCAAGTGTGGCAATAGGTTGTTCTTCGTTTTAATATTACTGATAGGAGATTTGAAGAGCTTAGTTTGTTTGTTGATTGGATTATTGAAGGTTCACAGGGTAATGGCATTAGGTCCAAGCTTTTCAAAGGGCTGTTTGTTGTGTATGTGTGAAAGATATAGATGGAAAGGAATTCAGCTTTGCATAGGGATATTAACTACTGTTGTTGCTGCAAATGAGATTGTTTGGGAAGTTTTAAACTTCTTTTCTCTTGGGCTTGCTGATATACTTGCTATTTTTAATGTGGTGTAAGCTTTCATATATTTCAGTTGGTTTTTGGAATGGATTAACTCCATTTCTTTTTCTGTAAAGAGGGGTATGCCCTTTTATTGTATTTGTACTATAACTTTTATCCTTTTCTTTATAAAATCATCCCATTCAGGAATTAAAAATATATATATAATTGATATGTATAAATATTTTATTTATTCAAGATTTCAAGAACTAATTTTTAAAGAAATAAACCGAAAAGGAAAATAATATGTATACCTATAAATAATAAAACATAATAAAATATAAGAACTGATCCTAATTGATTTTCCCCCATCCCCAGTCCAACAAATCAATCCACAATGAAAAAACGCCATATCTACTTTTTCTTCCTTCTATTTTTCCCCCTTCCCAATTCACGATTACTCCACGGTCTCAGTTGAACTTAAAGATAAAAATGGTACATTTTAAGAGATTTAATATTGCAACCAAGGAAGTCATCTTAGGGTAACGTGACAAGACATCCTAACTTCAACTCTCTCCTCTTGAGGTCAGATTCAAGGGTTCTCTTGATGATAAGTCAAGGATATAAGATAGGCATCAGCATCTCGGAATTTTTTTATGTGACAATTACATTTCAAGAGTACTCTTATGTTATGTTTGGCGACACGGAATTGACACTTGAATTTGGGATTGGAGAAAATTTAGTACAAACTAAACTCTCTCCAATTTCAAATCCAAGGCACGAATTTGGTGCTCCTAAACATAACACTAAAGCACTGTCGCATTCTACAGTGCATACCGTTTCTTTCTTCACGAAATCCAACCTCAAGCAGAGACTAATAAGAATGAATAATAAAAGATAAGGTAAGTAAAACCAAGAGTTTGTTGCCAAGTAAAAGTTTCGCTTTCCCATAGATCTTGGGTTTGTGAAGATGTAACTTATATAAAAACAAGCACAAGTAGATCAAATATAGGACTATAACAAAAAAATGCAGTAGGGTTATACTTTCCCTCTTTATGCAGAGTGGGAACATAAGAATCATGTTAACAAGAATGACACAGATTTACAGTGACGATGATGAGGACATAAAATTTGTTTCACTGACATTGTTTGGTTCGAGAAGACGGCTGGGGGGGGGGGGGGGGGGAGAAGTGGTTTGACTAGCAGTTAGATCAGACCTTCACCCTTTTCGTATCATTTTCAGGGACGCTTGCATCATTTCCATTCCCACCCACTGAAGTGCCTATTTGCCCTTGGACCTGCACATAAAATGATAACACAATTATATTTGGAACACTGCAATGTAACAAATCACTAAAAACAAAAGTGCTTAGGGGAGCAGTGTGGAAGAAAAGAAAGTTTCCATATCGAATCCTTGGGAGCACATATATTATGAAATATAGCAAACCAACTCCCATGATAATGCAAAACTCAAATCTCTCTTACAAATTCTACATCATCAAAGGTGGCAAACCACCTCCAGATGATGCACAATTCAAATTTCATAGCAATATAATTTTAAGTTTCATAAATATCAAAAAGAGAAGAAAAGGGATAAATAATCAAATACCAAAATAAGAAAGGAAGAAAAAAAAAAAAAAAAAAAGGTATAAAAAAGGGTATTTTCAATTTAATTTTCACAATATGACAAGGTCTAAAGGGATAGTTCTGACTATGGTTTTGTTAGAGGCATAGAGCTATCTATTGCAAAACTTTAGGTAAATTGCCCCGACCTCCCCTGTGGTTTTGCCTTCATTACCTTCAAATTGAAGTTCTTGCAGAATGGCTGACACCCTTATCAACTGCTAATGGAAATAAAGTTCATTGTACAATTACCAAAATACCCTCAACTTTCTAATGCTTTTATAATTAACAAACAAATATGTGATTTTATATGTGTAAACATTACCTCCACCACCACCACACCAGTACTATTGCTATTTGTCGGGCACAACAGAAGTGAAATTCAATTTAAAAAGAGAGAGAAGCAACTCCAAACCACAACACGAGATTTACATGGTTCACCCAAACTCAGGGATATGTCCATGGATGAGGAGATTCCACTATAATCATGTAGAAATATTACAACACTCGTACACTCTCTCTACCCATTGTACTCACACCCTGGAGAGGTTGCCTTACGGGCTACATGTGATGTAGGCATAATTTCAAATTTCTGCAAGTGAAATTTGTGTTTTTCAGAAACTTTTCATATTTTGAAAGTTTCCTTATTTTGAGTAGTTTTCTGATTTTCATCAGCTTTCCTTTTTGAGTAGTTTTCTTATTTTCATCGGCTTTCCTATTATTATTTTATTTTATATTTGGTAGTTAGCTAATATAAGGTTGGGATTGGGGAGGAAGAAATTCTATATAATGCCTTGTAATTGTTAAGGTTTACGGTTTAGTTGAAGAACAATGTTACCGAACACAATGACAACCCGAACAAGTCACAAATAGCACCGAGAAACCCTTAGCAACATTTCTTATGCTAAGGGAATACCCCAAAATAGAGGTCCAAATCTAGGAAGAGAAATTAGGCTTTTATATCATGTTGTAAATAATGAAATAAAAGTGAAAAAAGAAAGCCCACAAAGCAATCACACACAAACACAAGATTTTTTTTTTTTTTCTCTCTTCCAAACAACCCTAATCACCATGTCTGATGATGTACCTAAGTCCAAGACCAAGACCTTTGAGTCCCAAGTCCAAAACTCTCAAACACACTCAGTCCAGATTACCACAATTCGGCTAAATGGTGAAAACTTCCTCCGCTGGTCCCAGTCCGTGCGGATGTACATCTGAGGCAGAGGCAAAATCGGCTACCTGACAAGAGAAAAAAAGGAACCGAAGCCTGAAGATCCATCCTACTCGACCTGGGATGCAGAGAATTCGATGGTGATGACCTGGCTGGTGAATTCTATGGAGGAGGACATCAGTTCTAATTATATGTGTTACCACACAGCAAAAGAACTCTAGGACAATGTCAACCAGATGTATTCAGACCTGGGAAATCAGTCTCAAGTCTATGAACTAACGCTAAAACTCGGAGAGATTCGTCAAAGAGATAACAGTGTTACAAAATATTTCAACTCTTTAAAACGTTTGTGGCAGGACCCTGATTTGTTCAATGATTATGAGTGGAAATCGCCTGAAGATTGCAACCATTACAAAAAGAAGGTGGAAGACAACCGCATCTTCAAGTTTCTCATTGGACTCAATGTCGAGTTTGATAAAGTGAGAGGCTGAATAATTGGACGACAGCCCTTGCCTTTAATTGGTGAAGTCTTCTCCGAGGTTCGAAGAGAGGAAAGTCGCAGGCTGGTCATGCTTGGAAAAAAGTTATCAAATGGTGTTGTTGAGACCTCTGCCCTGGTCGCATTTGAAGTGAATATTGGCAGGAAACATAATGAAAAGCCCCGTCTTTGGTGTGACCACTGCAACAAGCCTCGCCATACCCGTGAAACCTGCTGAAAAATTCATGGTAAACCAGCAAATTGGAAGAGTAAGCAGGAAGGCAAATTCAACCGAGCCCCATCAGCTTATGAAGCCAAAGCACTTCCCTTCAGCAAAGAACAGATGGATCATCTTCTAAAATTGTTGAAATTCAATTCCTCATCTGGTACTCCTAATGCTTCTCTTGCTCAAACAGGTAACAACCCGAAGGCCTTATCTTGTCGTTCAAATTCCAGTGTTACCCTATGGATCATTGATTCAGGGGCTTCTGACCATATGACAAGTTTTTCTCATTTATTCCAAACTTATTCACCCTGTTCTGGCTTTGAAAAAATCAGAACAGCCGATGGTTCTTATTCTCCTGTTGCAGGCAAAGGTTTGGTAAAACTTTCAAAAATTATTGATCTTAAGTCTGTCCTTCATGTCCCTAAGCTTGCTTGTAACCTTTTATCAGTTAGTAAATTGTCCAAAGACTCCAATTGTCGTGTTATCTTTTTTGAATCCTACTATGAATTTCAGGACCAGAGCTTGGGGAAGACAATTGGCAGTGCTAAGATGATAGATGGTCTCTACTATTTTGAAGATGATATTTCAAGTAATAAAAAGGCTCAAGGTCTGAGTAGTTTTCATTCTATCCCTGTTAGAGAACAAATAATGCTATGGCATTTTAGACTAGGGCATCCTAGTTTCCCTTATCTTAAAACATTATTTCCTGCTTTGTTTAAAGGATTGGATTGTTCATCTTTTTATTGTGAGAATTGTTTTTTATCAAAGAGTCATCGTACTACGTATTCTCCCAAACCTTATCAAACATCAAAACCATTTTATTTAATTCATAGCGATGTTTGGGGCCCTTCTAGGATCACAACTCTTTCTGGAAAAAAATGGTTTGTGACTTTTATTGATAATCATACACGTTTGTGTTGGGTGTATTTAATGAATGAAAAATCTGAGGTTGAAAAATTATTCAAGGATTTTTATATGATGATTGAAAATCAATTTCAAACAAAAATTGGCATTCTTCATACTGATAACGGCACCGAATACTTTAATGAAGTTTTAGGAAGTTTTTTAACAGAAAAAGGAATTTTTCACCAATCCACTTGTGTTGACACGCCCCAACGAAACGGAATTGCTGAAAGAAAGAATAAACATTTACTTGAAGTTTCTCGCGCCATCATGTTTTCAATGAATGTTCCTAAGTATTTGTGGGGTGAAGCCGTTTTAACAGCAACATATTTGATTAACAGGATGCCTACTCGTGTTCTTAACTATTTTACACCTCTTGAAAGCCTTAAAAAATCTTTTCCTGAAACTCGGATTTATTCCAACCTGCCTTTGAAAGTATTTGGGTGCACTGTCTTTGTCCACTTACCTAGTAGACTTCGGTCTAAATTAGATCCTCGGGCTAAAAAATGTGTTAGGTACGCCCCGAATAAAAAGGGGTACAAATGCTTCAATCCGAAAACAAAAAAATTGTTTATCAGTATGGATGTCTTTTTTCTAGAAAATCATCCTTATTTTCAGAAAACTTTTCTTCAGGGGGAGAAAGAGAGTGAAGAAAATGTTTGGGAGATTTCTATTAATATTCCCTTACCCAAACCTATTGTCTCACACTCTATTACTCCGAACATTGATCTTTTTAAACAAGGAAATGATGTTCTAGAATCAGGAAACCCGGGGCCTCCTAGTCCTAATCTGCCGAGCCTTACTGTATCTCCAACAGGGGGAGAAATCCTACCAACGGTTCCAAAAAAACCGAATCCCGAGCTTCTGGTTAATAACAGGAAAAAGACTCATCAAAAGAGTAGAGAGCCTACTATTGTACCTGAGCAAGGCCAATCAAAGGTCTCGAGCAATGACTCCCTGAACACTCAAGATACTCTAATTCCTAACTTGTCTGCAATTGTCCCTACTATTTCTGATAGTACAGAGTCACCTAGCCAAGTTCCTGTAGACCTTGATATCCTTATAGCTGTTAGAAAAGGAATCCAAACCTGTACCCAGCATCCCATTGACAAATACTTGTCTTATGATAAACTTTCCCATAAACATAGGGCCTTTACTTCAAATATTTCTCACTTGTTTGTTCCAAGAAACATTCAGGAAGCACTAGATGATCCGAATTGGAAATCAGCAGTGTTAGAGGAGATGAATGCTCTTAAAAGGAGTGGAACGTGGGAGATGGTTGACTTGCCCAAAGGAAAGAAAACTGTTGGGTGTAAATGGGTTTTCACTATTAAGTGTAAAGCTGATGATAGTGTAGAAAGGAATAAGGTAAGACTTGTGGCAAAAGGTTTTACGCAAACGTACGGCATTGATTACCAAGAGACGTTTGCTCCTGTAGCAAAAATAAACTCAATCCGAGTCTTATTGTCTTTAGCAGTCAATTCTAACTGGCTATTACATCAGTTGGACATAAAAAATGCCTTTTTAAATGGAGACTTGGAAGAAGAAGTGTTTATGAGCTTGCCACCTGGGTTCGAAGGAAAACACGGTAAGAGCAAAGTCTGTAAACTAAAAATATCCCTGTACGGTTTGAAACAGTCTCCAAGAGCGTGGTTTGAACGCTTTGGAAAGGCTGTGAAGAGTCATAGGTATCAGAGTCAGGCAGACCATACCACGTTCTACAAACACGGTGAGGAAGGGAAAATTGCCATTTTAATTGTGTATGTGGATGATATAATTTTGACAGGTGATGACATTGAAGAGTTGACTAGACTGAAGAAGAAACTTGCTAAAGATTTTGAAGTCAAAGATCTGGGAGCATTAAAATACTTCCTTGGAATGAAATTTGCCAGGTCAAGAGAAGAAATTTTCGTGAATCAACGAAAATATGTACTTGATTTGCTTAATGAGACAGGACTACTCGGGTGTAAAGCTGCTGACACGCCAATTGAAGTCAACCTGAAGTTAGAAGTTGCCGAACCCGAGAATATGGTTGATAGTGAAAGATATCAGAGATTGGTGGGAAGACTAATTTACTTATCTCACTCACGCCCAGATATAGCATTCGCAGTCAGTATGGTGAGTCAGTTCATGCACTCTCCTGGTCAGGATCACTTTGAAGCAGTGTACAGGATTCTGAGGTACTTAAAGGGCTTCACCAGGTAAAGGACTTCTGTTCAAGAAACAAGATCATTTGCAAGTGGAGGTGTACACAGATGATGATTGGGCAGGCAGTATAGTTGATAGACGATCTACCTCAGGATATTGCACCTTCGTTGGAGGAAACTTAGTCACGTGGCGAAGCAAGAAACAAAATGTAGTAGCGAGGAGTAGTGCAAAAGCCGAGTTCAGAGCACTCGCCCATGGGATTTGCGAAGCTATATGGTTAAAAAGACTCCTTGAAGATTTGAAGGTTATTGTTTCTCCTCCAATGAGAGTCTACTGTGAAAACAAGGCTGCCATTTCAATTGCTTATAATCCAGTCATCCACGACAGAACCAAACATGTGGAAGTTGACAAACACTTTATCAAAGAAAAGCTTGACTGTGGTATGATTTGCATTCCTTATGTCTCTATTACTGAACAAGCTGCAGACATCTTACCAAAGGACTACACAAGAGACAATTTGAAGTTTTAAAAAGCAAGCTAGCTATGGAAGACATCTACAAGCCAGCTTGAGGGGGAGTGTTGAAAAAGAGATATTCGGTTTTAATAAGACCAGATTTTAGGGGATATGATAGGTGTGTAAATATAGATAGTCAATGACTAAGATTAGGAATTTTTGTTAGTGTACAGCCTGTAGCTTCTTTTAGTTTACAGCCTGTAATTACAGCCTGTAGCTTGCTGTTACAGCCTGTAGTCAGCCTGTAGTTTCCTTTTGTTAGCCCCTTGTATTTCCTATTTAACTAAAGCATTGTAAACCATTCAAAGTACGGCAATATACAGATTCTTTTCAATCTTGAAATTGCCTATTGCATTAAATCATGTTTCCTACATTTTTAATTAGACATGATATCTATAAGAGTAGTAAAAGAAATCCACCTTCCATCAACTTTATTGAAGATCGCTAGATTAACAAAAAAAAAAAAAAAAATGAAAATGACTTACTTTATCATCAGGAACAACTGCATATCTCTCAGATGGTGATAGCCAATTTTTTCCTACTAAGAAAATACAACGAAAAATAAATATTACCAACAAGGTCCAAAATGTTGTGATACACACTTTTACATTAGTAATAAACAAATGAAAGTGATACTAGACAAGCTCAGACCCAAAAGTTTTTCATTGAGGGGGCCAACTTAGTAGGGTGAAAATATAGATATTTTTCAAATTATAACCTATAATGTCATCCCTTACAAGTTACAATAAAATTCTTAGAAAGTGAAACTCTATATGGTATTTACAAAATAAAAGTGTTTCATAACCCACTAGGTTGATAAAATGAGAAGATTGGGAACATGGGTTATATTTCGAAAATTTGGCCAATGCGAACCTCCAAAAATAAGACCTAATAAGCAAATAAAGAGAGATTGACACTATACAACACCTGATGATGGATCAACTTCCGAGGACTCTATCTGCTGTCCACTACATCCATCCATGCTCAAAGGCTCTATAATCTGCGGAATATTTCTTCAAATCCCAAAACAGCTGCCATCAGTAATGACTTTTAATGAAAATAAATAAATTATAATTGAGTACCTTCAGTTCAGACACACAACAACAACGAAGGGACAAAAAGAGAGAGAGATGAGAGAAGAAAACCAGAGCTGGAAGAGAAAACTCATGTTTGCAGAAACAGGGAAATTAAAATATTTCTCTCCAAGCAATAATTTCTTAAAATGGTTCAGAACCTGAATGTTCATGGGAGGAATTGGTACGTACAAAGTAACTAGAACAACTAGCCCACAACAAATAGTCAAGGTCAGAATTATGATGAAATTCAATGGGCCAATTTGGTACCATGTGATGAATATGAAACCAAATTAATTTGTGCTTGTCACTAGGTCTAACTAAAAATAAAATGATATGATGTGTACTTGTCAATTTGTTATTATTTTTTAATTATTTTGGCAAAGACAAAGCAAAATAAAATGGAATATAACCTAGTATTTAAGTTTGGGAATTCTTAAACGACCACATTGGTGGTTTTGGCTTAGAGAATCCCGAAGTTCAGCACAAAAAAAAAACCATAACTAATGGGTTCAAATCAGGTCAGAGGAGTCGTCTTTTAATAAAAATTCATATGCTAATTCAACTGAATCCAATCACGTTCCCAACCAGTTAAATATTTCTCCAAGTGATAATTTCTTAAGATGGTCCAGAACCTAAACATTCATGGGAGGAATCGGTACATACAAAGTAACTAGCAAAAGCAGCCCACAATAAATAGTCAATATCATGGAATGACGTTATTAGAAATGATTTTTAAAAAAATAAATATCAGGAATATTGAGATAGCTTGTAATAGAAAAGAATGAAAAAAGAAACTTCATTGTTAGGCCCTATTGAAGATTTAATGGAGGAATCAGTGGAGGAAAATCTTTCAATTACTGATGTTGTTTCCTATTATTGAAGATTTGGTGTTACTAAAGCAATCAATGTTCTAATTCTTTCCATTCTCATAATTTCTTCTCCTATATAAAGGAGCCTCCACCATTGTATTGTGCATGTGTTGAGAGAGTATTATAAAAGTGATGTAGCCCTTTGGGTTCTGTTCCGTGGATGTAGGCCCTAGTGGCTGAACTACGTAATAATTTTGTGTTTTGTTGCTTTATTTATCTCTTCACTTCTGTTTTATGCTTTACAACAGGTCCATAGGACTAGGTTGACAAATTTTGTAGAACAAAACATGTTCAATGTAATTTTAGTTAGATAAGTTTGTCTTAATGGTGAGTTAAGTGAGAATTACCACCAGGATGAAGATCGAGCTTCTACAAAAGTTTAAACATCAATTTCATCAACAGAGGATATAAAGGTAAATTCATACTATGATGCACTATCACCATATTACGCTCATGCATGCATAATATTCACTTCCAAATTTCGAAGTTTTTCAAAACTTATTTAGAATACAAACCATGATTTTCAAACATGCAAGGATTTTTTTAAGTTCAAATTATTTTCTGCTATGGATCAGTAAAGAAGCTTGTCAATCAAGTCTTATTGAGACCGATTGAGCTATATTGAGGCAAAGATCAAAGCTTACTGGAGTAGTGTCGATCTATTGTTTATACACTGTGGATTGATCGAGGATTACTGTCCAATCTATCAAAGTAACTTGGAGTGTAGCCGATCAATTGAGGGAATGGTGATTGAATGAGGGAATGTGAAATACAATTCCTGTTTGGAATTAACTACATGTGTTTTGAGTTGAACCAACTAGTTTTCTAGGTTGTCTATAAATACTTATGATCTATGAAACCCTAGATAGGTTTTGATATTGCTTTTATTTGTTCATTCATTTTTTTTCAAAAGCTCACATACTTTGCTGGTTCTTATTTACAAGATCATAACCTCATATTCTTCATATAATACATATATTGGAGTTTTCTCTTGTTGGAGAAAATATTGCATCTTTTTGTTTTCAATGTTCATCATACATCCTTTTTCTTTTTCTTAATTGGTACTTGTTGAAATATCTTTATTATTATTATTTCTATTTTTATTAGCTGTTTTTAGCTTTTTATTAGGTGTTTTAAGTAAGAACTGTATAATCATGGGGTCACGTAGATAAGATTCCCGTAATTATGGTATCACGTAGATAAGATCCCCATAATCATGGGATCACGTAGATTTTGGCATACTACTTGTTTTTCCTTGATTTGGTTTCCTTTCTTTGTACCCTATTTATTAAAGATTAAATGTAAAGTTAGAAACATAAAGAACAAGGATGAAAAAAATAATATTAGGGGATAGATAAACATCTCCTTTACTACGAATAATGGTGGTTGAGCCATCAGCTAGACTAACAACTTGATTAACAGGGGTAACGGGAGTAGAAAATGACAAAATTACTGAAAAGTTACTGAAATTGGTAATCGAATCAATTAATTAAAGGATTGGGAATACACTGTTATATATACATCAGAATAATACTATTCTAGGAAACTAACTAATCCTAGAGATACATATTAATACATATAAAAAACTGATCCGTAGAAATCAGGGATTACAATAACTAATAAATCCCTAGCTATTAACAGCCTGTACACGATTTCCTTATACAAGGAAAGAATCATATTTTGCCACACTCCCCCAGCAAGCTTGGAATATGGATGTATTAACAACCTGTACACGATTTCCTTATACAAGGAAAGAATCAAATTTTCCCACACTCCCCCTCAAGCTGGTGAATGGATGTCATCCATTCCAAGCTTGTTGGTTATTCTTTGAAAAACGGTACCAGGCAATCCTTTGGTAAGCACGTCTCCTAGTTGTTCTCCAGTAGGAACAAAAGGAGTACAAATGAGGCCACTATCCAATTTATCTTTAATAAAATGCTTGTCCACTTCAATGTGTTTTGTGCGGTCATATTGCACAAGATTGTGTGCAATATTGATGACTGATTTATTATCACAGTAAAGCTTCATTGGACCTTCCCATCTGACTCTTAAATCTTCCAAGATTATCCTTAGCCGTAGCAGTTCACATATCCCGAGTGCCATCGCTCTAAATTCAGCTTCTGCGCTGGACCTTGCAACCACATTATGCTTTTTGCTTCTCCAAGTAACGAGGTTACCACCTATGAAGGTGCAATAGCCCGAGGTTGATCTTTTGTCAATCACGGATCCTACATAATCCACATCTGTGTAGGCTTCAAGAGTCGGCCCTTCCCCTTAAACAGAATTCCTCTTCCTGGTGTACCCTTCAAGTACTGCAGAATTCTATACACAGCTTTGAGATGTGATTCTTTGGGATTGGGCATGAATTGACTCACAACACTCACAACATAAGCTATATCCGGCCTAGTATGTGACAAATAAATTAACTTCCCCACAAGTCTCTGAAAAGAGCCTTTATCCACGGCCACATCTTCTGGAGCATCACAAAGTTTGTGGTTTGACTCCATAGGTGTCTCAACTGGCTTACATCCCAGCTTGCCTATATCAGCCAATAAGTCTAACACATATTTTTGCTGTGATATAAAAATCCCTTGCTGAGAGTGGGCTACTTCAATACCAAGAAAGTACTTCAGTTTTCCTAGCTCTTTGATCTCGAATTCCTTCACTAACTGTTTCTTCAAGCTCTCCATTCCTTCCAAGTCATCTCCTGTTACTATGATGTCATCCATATAGACCAACAATACTGTCACTCCCCCTGATGCTGAGTGCTTTACAAACAATGTATGATCACCTTGACTTTGCTTATATCCTATACTCACCATCACTTTGGTAAATCTCCCAAACCAAGCTCTTAGGGATTGTTTCAGTTCATACAAAGCTTTTTTAAGCTTACATACCATTCCTTCCTTTTCATTTGAGCCAAACCCAAGCGAAATCTCTATATAGATCTCCTCCTTAAGATTGCCATGTAAGAAGGCGTTCTTGACATCAAATTGCTGTAATCTCCAGCCAAAATTTGCAGCCACTGATAACAGGATTCTCACAGTATTCATCTTAGCAACTGGAGCAAAAGTCTCAAGATAATCTATGCCGTAGGTTTGTGTATACCCTTTGGCAACTAATCTTGCCTTATACCTTTCCAAAGGGCCATCGGAGTTGTATTTGGTTGTGAACACCCATTTACACCCAACCGGCTTCTTTGCTCTAGGCAGTCTCACTAAGTCCCAAGTCTTGTTTTTCTCAAGTGCTTCCATCTCAACCTTTATAGTATTTTCCCAATTCTCATTTCCTAATGCATCGGATAAAGTTTTGGGAATAGGGACTGTATTTAGGCTAGTAAGAAAGGCCCTGTGGTAATGAGAAAGATTCATATATGACATGAACAGATAAAGAGGGTGTTTGGTACAAGTTCTAGTTCCTTTTCGAATTGCAACAGGGACATTATAATCATTTTGTTCAAAGGTTTCATTAGTGTTATCATTGGGTTGAGTAATTACCTCGACATTACCAGGAGCAGATTTGGGTGATTGAACTTGCACAAGTTGAGAGATTGGTGCTCTTTTCCTTGAGTAAATCTGCAATGGACGAGTAGAGTCTTGAGTTTGCTTCCCATGTAACACTCCTTGTGATTTGGGTGTATGAGGCTCGGCTTCTGACCGTGTGTTTGGCTCAGACTGAATGTTTGGGAGTATGTTTGACTCAGATTGATGAGAGATAGGGGCTAGAAACTCAAGGAGAAAAAGATCCTTGTCCTTATCTTCTATGAAAGATGTCTCCCCCTAAAGATAAGGACCGTTAAAGTACTGATCTTGATCGACAAAAGTATCAGCAGACACATAAAATCTCCTTGTCGGAGGATGATAGCATTTGTAGCCCTTTTGGGTGGAGGAATAGCCAAGAAAGACACATTTGAGAGCTCGAGGATCAAGTTTTCCCCTGTTTTGAGAATGCACATGAACAAAGGCAACACAACCAAATATCTTTGGAACAAGATTCTTAGATGCGTTAAAATTGGGAAAGAACTATGTAAGGACCTGCATTGGACTTTTAAAACCAAGGACTCTTGTA